CAGAAAGGAATGAAACAAATAAGGGCAATATTGTTTCTTATATTAAGTGAGCCACAGAGCCACTTGCAGGTCTGGAGCTGCAGGTTCACAGCCTTGATGTAGCAGATCAAACCTGTAATCCTATCTCTCTTCAGCTGAAGCTAAAATGCTACATCTTCATTTTTAATTGACCTTTAATTAACAGATGTTTTGATGTTCCTTTTGAACATCAACACATTTGCCTTAGGAAAATGCTCTCTTGTCTTTCTTTTGTTAAAGGTAAAAAATAAATAAAATTGGTTAAAAGCACCAGTTAGATATGGTAAATAACAATAATAATAATTTAGTGTTATCTCTTCAGTTCAGGGGCCCAGAGCAGTTTTACAGGGACACTGGGAAACTGTCAAAGTAGAAACATGCAAATGGTTTTCTCCAAATCTACATTTCTCAAATGTGTTTAATGAAATATCTCTCTGTCGCTGCAGATTTGTTCTGTGGGACATGTTCAAGTTAAATGGATCAGGTGTCTCCAACTTTGATGATAGGAAATTATTTCTTTGATGCCTACCGCATGATGCCTACAGACCAGAATCCCCAGGAAAAACCAGACTGATCCATGAGATAGTCATCAATTAAATTATATTAATGACGTCATCCTTTTTTTCCACAGACCTCCAACAGCCAAGTGTCTCCAATGAGGAGGAAGATTTTGCCATCCAACAAGTCTGGAGCCTGGCAAGTAGGTCCAATCAGGACCAGAAAGAAGGAGAACATCAGTGGACTGAAGAGGAACAGATGGAACCAGAACCTAAATGGATTAAAATAGAAGAGGAGGAACCAGAACCTACACTGTTCAAACATGAGGAAATAGAATATCCACTAACATATGTAAGAAAAGAGGAGCTAGATTCTTCAGTGCTTCAACATGAACAACAGCCACCAGAACATTTACCATCTGGACAGGACCAGAAGGACCTCTGCAGCAGTCAGGAGGGAGAGCAGCTTGTCCAGAAGCAGTTTGTTGCTTTGATTGAGACTTCTACTCTTCAGGGAGATGATATGAATGAAGAAGAGACAAGAACAGAGCAGCTTTCCCTTCATATCTCTCCAGTGGTTGAGAGCAAAGATCAGGAAGGAAGCAGCTGCTCTGTGTCAGAGAGTCAGTCTGATACTGGCACAAAGAAAAGACCTTTCAAATGTGACATTTGTGGGAAATGTTACACACAAAAGTGTAACTTGAAAATCCATTACAGAACCCACACTGGTGAGAGACCTTTTTCATGTGAAACATGCGGGAAAAGTTTCTCTGTAATGAAAGATTTAAATTGTCACAAGAGAATTCATACAGGTGAGAAACCTTTTTCATGTCAGTCATGCGGAAGGAGTTTCTCTCAAGTTAGTACTTTAAATCTCCACAAGAAAATTCATACAGGTGAGAAGCCTTTTCCATGCGAATCATGTGGAAAAAGTTTCCGTGCAATTAGTCACTTAAATGTTCACAAGAGAATTCATACAGGTGAGAGGCCTTTTTCATGCGAATCATGCGGAAGAAGTTTTTCGCGAATGAGTCACTTAAATCGTCACAAGAAAACTCATACAACTGTGAAGCTTTTTTCATGCCAGTCTTGTGAAAAAAGCTTCTATCGAAAGAATAATTTGAGCAATCACATGAAAACCCATACAGGTCAGGGGCCACTTTGAAGCCAAACCTGTAAAAATAAAGTGTTCTTTGTAATTGATTACTTAATTATTCTCATTAGAACCCACATTCAGAAGCTGGGTTTTTCACATGAAATATGGAAAAAAAAAGTGTTCTTTTATGCTGGTAAACTGAATTTCCACATAGATTTACTATAAGAAATATTAAACCCTTTCTTGTATTGTTTTCACTTTGCAAAATGCATTAGACCTTCAACTGTTTTTGGTTGTCCATTTATGGATTTTCTTTTTTATTGTGGTGCATATCTATGAAATTTGTTAAGGTATATTTAGAATATTCAAAACCAGTTCAACTGGTTTTGTAAGTGTAAATATTGAGGCGCCATGTTACTTAACATGCCACTGATTGACTTTTACAAAGTAGCCAATCAGGACGCTTTCAGAATCCTGAATCCTCCTCAAAATTTGACTTTCAGATGTAAATCTGTTTGTCATGAATAACATACCAACTTTTTATGCTTTACTGAATAATTTCATGTATCAATTTATGTGCCGCTTGGATGTATCAAAGAACTTGACAAAAAACCTCTGACAGCTACAACATATATTAGATATATTTCTAACTTTTTAACAGTTGGAATAATTATCTGCTTTGTGACGTGTCGTTTTTTACTTGAAATGTGTATTTAATTTTTGTCTAAATGGTATGGACTACCTTTTGTTTCGAAATAAAAACTTGTGAATTAATACGAAGTTGTTTTACCCCGAAGGGCTACATAGTGGCGCAGGTGGTAGAGCTGTTGCCTTGCAGCAAGAAGGTCCTGGGTTTGATTCATGCCTGGGGTCTTTCTGCATGGAGTTTGCATGTTCTCCCTGTGCATGCTGGGTTCTCTCCAGCTTCCTCCAAAAACATGACTGTCAGGTTAATTCGCCTCTCCATATTCTTCCTAGGTGTGAGTGTGCATGGTTGTGTGTCCTGTCTGTCTCTGTGTTGCAACAGACTGGCAACCTGTCCAGGGTGACCCTGCCTCTCACCTGGAACATTGGCTGGAGATCGGCACCAGCACCCCTCCCAACCCTACCAAGGGACAAGGGTGTACAGAAAATGGATGGATGGATGTTTTTCCCTGTTTATCGCCTGTCCACACTCCAGTTCAGTAGGTGGCGGTATTGCACCAAATTTCCTTCTTTGCCAACCAACAAAAAAAAAAAACATTGAAGAAGAATAAGCTCGCATGTGGGCGTCCTGGGATTACTTTGAAGCTGGCAGATTGGGCCAGACTCCTGTGAAGGAGGTTGAGAGCATTGGTGGCGGTAAGACACAGCCGGGCTGTGAATGGTGGAAAGATGTCAGAGGGAAATGATGTATCAGGAAGTGATGTGGAAATGGATGAGGATTGTGATGGCAGGGAAAATGAAGGGATATGGTATACTCAAAAAGCTGTGTGCAAACACAAAAAATCAAAACAACAAACAGAGTCTTCTGTTTCTGAGGTTGAAGGAGAAACAGTTGTGATGACAGAATTTAAAATAGTTGTGAAATCGGTCAAAGAGGGTGTGTCCTTTGGTAAGTGGAATCCAATTTAACTTACTAAAGAAATCAACTCATTTGTTGGAAAAGTGAAATATGTTAAAATGTTGAGAGATGGATCTTTATTGATCATTTGTAATGATGTTAAACAAAAAGAAAGGGCACTGAATATTAAAAACATCCTAGGTGAGAATGTGAAGTGGAGAATGCTAGATAACAGGAAATATGTGCGTGGCGTTATTTCAGGTATTTCTCCTTATGTGCCAGTTGATGACATTAAATCTAATGTCAGGAGGGAAAGTAGTTGAAGTCAAACGGTTAAAAAGAAACAAAAATGGAGAAAGGAGTGATGGTTTTTCTATCTTGATAAAAGGTTGAAGAAAAAACTCTACCAGACAAAGTTTTTGTGGGATATATGAGTTAAGATGTTCAACCATTTATTCCTCCGCCACTGTCGTGTTTTAAATGTCAACAGTTTGGACATGTTGCGGCAGCATGCAAGGGGAAGCAGAAATGTGGGAGTTGTGCTGGGGATCATGAGTATGGGAAATGTGAGGAAGGAGCTCCTTTGAAATGTAATTGTGGAGGTGGGCATAGTTCAGGTTTCAGGGGATGAGTAGCTTGTAAAAGAGCTGAGGAAGTACAGAAAATTAAAATCACTACTGGGACCACTTATGCAGAAACAGCTAAAAAAGTACCTGTTCAGCCAGTAATGCAACCAAAGAAAATGACAGGGGTAGAAGAAGGAAGATCAGATTGTCTGGAATGCAGCAAGATCAAAGATGACACTTTACTCAAGACGAAAGAGGATTGTGTTCTATTCATGGTGGAGGTTATAAATTGAACTGCTCAAACAAAGGAAAACAGAAAAAATTCAAATAATTGTGAAGGCAGCTCAAAAATATCTTGATTTTAAGAATGTCAGCTGGGAATCAATTGAGGAAAAACTGAATGAGACGCAATCTTCTCAACGTCAGTCATGCAGTGGTGGCCCTTCTCTATGTTAGTTATAGTCCAGTGGAATGCAAGAAGTCTCATTAGTAATGGTCTAGACTCTAGAGGTTAAGAAATACATTTCTGATTTGATAATTAAACCTCATCTGATCTGCATTCAAGAAACTTGGCTTAAGCCCCAATTGGATTTTATTAATCCTGGATATATATCAATTAGAAATGATAGAAAGGAAAGACAAGGTGGGGCAGTGGCAACTTTTGTGCAAGATGGTTTAAGATATAAAGTGGAATCAATAGGGCAGAATTATGAATCAATGGTAATTAAGATTTGGATAGGAAATGGTCAGATTTCAGTGATTAATCTGTATAATTCTAGCAAGAAATTGACCATTCAAGATTTTAATGATGTAAAT